CGAGTTATTGACAAAAAACAAATTTGGATGATCAGATAAATGAATCTCATCAAATAATTCGAAAATCTAATAGATCACTTTCTCTAAGGCTTCGCTTTGGAAAAAAAAGAGATTTTTACGCGTCCGTAAGTATCCAAAAAAAAAAAATTTCCCCGTTTCCGTTTCCGCTTTTTTAACGCGATTATTATTATTATTTTTTTTAGAATCCAAAGTTTGGAGGACATCCTTACACAAATATAATTGATGATTTTGAAAATTAATGTCAAATAATAATAATAATAATATATTTAATTATTGTTTTTATTTAAATAGAAATTTATTAATGTGTAAAACTTATTAATATTATAAAAAGCATTCCATTTGATTTTATATTAAAATTTTCTTTTTTTTATTTTTGGTAAAATTAATTAATTTATTTATTTTAAAAAGTTTTTCTTTTTTTTTATGTTACAAAACAAAAATTAAAATAATTAAAAATATGTTATTTAATTTGTGTATTATTAATTAATTTAATTAGTTTAGTTATTTTATTATTAATTAAAAAATTTTGTGCTTTTTAAAAAAACAAATTAAATGTTACGAAAAAAATTTTTATTTTTATTTATTTAATAAAATTCTTTTATTTTATTCATAACCTTAAATTTATTTATTTATTTGAAAACTTAAATCAAAAAATAAAATCCATTTTCAACATTAATAATAATAATAATAATATTAAACCGAAATTATATAATAACAAGGAATATGAATGTGGGGAATATTTCCAAACGTAAAATCCATCAATTTATTTATAGATATTATCTCAATATATTAAACTTTATAATTAAATTATCATTTTATTCTATTAATAGGCCACGTACACCCCCCCCCCCCTTGAATTTTTAAAAAAACAATTTTATTATCATTATCTTCTTCTATTATGATAGATTTAAACGACTATGGAATCCATTTAATATTTAATTTTGCCAAAAAAATTGTGTAAATGGTCACCAACAATAAATCAAATCACATTTATTTAAAAAATAATCAATATAATAATGATAATAAAAAAATTAATTATACAAATATTAATATATAATTTACATGTAAAAAGTTAAATTATTAAAAAAATAACGTTAAATAATACTAATAATAATAATAATAATAATAATAATAAACGATGATGATGATGAGATTTATATCGACCAAAAATATTCAATTAATTAAATTTAATAACATTAGTTGGTTAATTTAAAAACCAATAACATATTTTAAATCGATAATTAATTATATATATTTTATAATAAAGTACGTATAATAATAATAATAATAATTAAAATTAAAAAAAAAAACCCCGTCCACGATACGTCTCCAAACCTTTAGTTAGTTCATTAGTACTTAAGAAGGTAAAAGGCTCGTTCGTTTTAATAAGTTTTATGCCCGTTAAATTTTTT